GCTTCTCTGTCAGCACTGGCGCTGAGTGCTTTAAAGGGGGCGCTGTGACCAGAAACTCAAAAAGCTCAAGTGCTTGTATTATATATTCAGTCTCGTAAAAGGCCGTCGTAAATTTTAACTATTTAACGTAATAGCATTTATTATGACATATTTTTATGAAGTAGGACCCATGACTGGTGTCATTGATGGACATTCGTTTGCTGACAGAAAAAAAAAATCGTCCCGTCCTGAAGCATTAACACCCGTCCACGGTTGAACTCAGCACATTCTTCCACAGCCACAAAGTGCTGCTGTTGGTTTTATGAAACACCTCTCTGCTCCTAATGGTCACTCAAAGCACTTCATGCCGTGTGTTTTTATTTTATTTTATTTTTTATATTCACCTGCTGCCTCAGTGGCCAGGAGCAATTTGTGGTCAGAGCCTTGCCCAAGGACACAGAGGCATGCAGACTTTCACAGGCAATTAGGCAAAATCAAACCGCCAACTGGATACTAGTAATTAGGAGAGGTTAGTGTGAGCTCCATCGTATAAGTCCAGGGCCGTGGAATATTATGAAAGATATGTTATTTAATATATTTAATATATAAATATATTTACATTTCTGTTTTGTTCTCTCTAGTTATGTGGTGGTTTTTCCTCCCACAAAAAAACAAAAACAAAACATATTAGCAATTAGTATATTTGTCGATGATGGGATTATTACATTTAAGAATTGCTGTGTCTACATATATGTGTTCATATATAAAGCATATATGTCAAGAGAGAACAGAAGGTCTCACTTCAAATTATGTTTTCACGAACAATCCAAAAAAAAACCTGTCATGGTCGGCCAATACAGCAATACATAAGTGCATATATGTATATATGTATGGGTATATGTTTATGGGTATATGTATATATATATTTTTCATATATGTATATACATATATGAAAAATATATATATATATATGTATGTATGTATATATGTATATATATGTATATACATATATATACATATATACATACATACATATATATATATATATTTTTTTTTCAGTTCATGCTACATTAACCCCAACTCATTAAAACAAAAAGTAAAGTCTATAAAAAAAAACAAACAGTTATTGCCCTTCAGATGTCTTGTTGTGGCAGAATTTCCCTCCATAAACAATAAACAACAGTTGTCTTGTGTGTTGTTGTCTGGGTCAAACAAGTGACAAACGAAGCCAAGCCCCTGGAACTGAGAGGCGGCCGCTGGGCTTTCTGTCTTTGTTTCTGTCCCTGTCAGTGTCTTCTCAGAGTGTGGACGTGTCTTCGCCCATGACTGCGTTGTTTATCTTCTCTGTGGCTCTTCACTGTGATGCTGTGATGAAGGTGAAAAGGCAGGATTAAGAGCTGCTGGGAGCTGCCAGCACACTGCAGAGCTGCAGGGAGCTCCCCCCAGATCCCAGCTGCCCTGGACTAGCTGAGAGCACCGGGCTAGTGCCAGGCTGCTCTGGGCCTCCGACGGAGGGTTAGGGTTAGGGTTCGGGCAGCCAGAGGGAGTGGGAGGTGCAGGAGGTGCACGTCAGAAGAAAATGCCAAAAATAATGTCTGGGTCCATATAATGTGGTCCTTCAGGGACAGGAAATGCTGAGACACATTAGAAAAACTCAAATCTACTGGCAGAGAAACGGACGCAGAACAAAAGTAAGTTTGAAGCTAATACTTGGCTCTAAGGTGTTCATATTTTATAAAACGCTGGAACATGAAGCCGCCGAGCTTCCCCAGTGAAATGAGCTTCCATTATTGGTGGCCCAAATGGCTCTGCTTCTCCACAACGACTGGCAACAGAGCGGGAAACGTAGTTTATCTGGAACGGTTAATGCATTATTTGTCTAAAAATCAAGGAAGTGGGTTTTATTCTACAGATAATTATAGCTTTTGTTTTGTTGATGTCCAAGATAAGCTGGAGTTCCGAACCATTAGCTGCTTGTGTTTTTTCTGGCCGAGGCTGAGTTTGTGATAAAGAACGCTCCATAGGCCTGTCAACATACATCCTACCAGAGGGTGAAGCTCTCACAACAAAAACACAACATGATGCTGTGCAGCCATAGACAAGGGGGTTTTGTTCCGACTGTTTGATGCCGGATCCTGCAGAACTATGTTTCTACTTCTGGAGTAAAATGGAATTCTTTAGGCAAAAAAAAAAAAACTAAACTGATTCTTCATTCATTTTTATATTTATGTTTCTGGAGAGGAGAATATTGTTTTTCCATTCGCTGTTGACCTTCATTACAGTTCAAATACACAATTTTACTAAAATATCAGGTCAATGTTAATAAGCTAAAATCATGACTAATTCAGTCATTCAGATAGACAGACAAAAACTAGACAGACACACAGACAGAGTTGATTGATTGGACAAATAGCTTACTAGCTAACCAGACAGACAGCTAGTTAGTTAGTTAGACAGACTTGTAGCTAGTCACCAGGAGAGACAGACAGGTAGATGGACGAATGGATGCACTCCATTTGATCCCAAATTTTGCATCACAGCAACAAAGTACAGGTAGAGATGAGACAAAATCAACAGCAGTGTTAAAGTGTTTACACAACCAGTGTCTGCTCACACTCTCAGCACTGATGCTGTGGAATGTCGGTGCCCGGAGTTCAGTTACCGAGCTGTAATCAGTAATAATCACCACTGGGGCTACAGACTGTGGAAATCCCCAGGCTGGTCCAGACACCCTGCCCTGTGTGCTGACCCAGAGACTCTCCTGACGGCACCTGGTACACATCAGCCCTTCAGAGAAAAGACCTTCCTCTGCAGAGGCAGGTAATCACAACAGAAGAACATCCTCGCCTCCTACTGAGGCCAGTGAACACGTCGTCACCACCTCCAGCCCAGGGGCAGCGACCAGGCTATTTCTGTGTTTCTGACAGAGACAAATGACCTCTGTGTTGCCCTGCCTGTCAACATTACCGCCCGCTCAGTAGCTAATGCAGGGGTCGGGTGGGGGGGGGGGGGGGAGTGGTAGGAGGGGGCAGAGACCACTGACAGGAAGTCAGCTCTGCTAACGATGAGGATGGACTCGGTTCAGCCCAGAAAAAATTAAAATCATATCAGCAAATGAGATCATGTGATTCAGCAGACTACATACTAAAATACATACACATACATACGTATATATGTGCTGTGGTGTATGTACAGGCTCTTGGTGGTTTCATTTCCTGTCTGGGTACATTAACCACCAATGACAAGGGTCCACAGGTTTGCTTCCTGTGTCAGAGACCTGACGCACACCGTCTGTGTTTTTCATGACAAAAATATTTCCTTTGGACACGAGGATTATATTTATTACGTCTACAGGGAGTCATTGATGTCATCAACACCTCCGACACTGTCACTCCGACTGATTTAAACACCGGATCACAACTGGAAAAGCTGGTCATAAATAACGGTCACAAAAAAACTCTATGACACTATTCAGTATCTAGACTGTGGACCGGTGTCTTCTCAACACGTGGCTGATAAGAACGATAGAAAAAAAGGGTAAAATTATCGTCATCATACCACGAATTTTTCAACCTTTGTTTTCTACAATTTTTTTTGTTTTGAAAAGAATGTAGAGAATCAGAAGCTCATTCTCAACATCAAATGTTTTCCAGACGTCCTGTTCTGTTTGGAGACATTTTTATTCAGGAATTCTTCACATTCTTATTTACCACATGACACGGAGGGAGGGCGTAAAAAAGACTGAACGTATAAAAGGTTCACCCCCCCCTGCCTAAAACTTCTGCACATTTGACTTAATTTGACTTAAGTCTGCACACATGACTTAAGTCAAATCAAAATGATCTAATGCAAATCAGATGAAATTATTATCTAAGAGTCGAATGACATCACGTCACATGACTTAAGTCAAATCAAAATGATTTGGTAAATTTGTCTTTAAGTTAGCGAATAGCATCACGGATGCTAACAATCGCTAAACTACACCTAATAAAGTGGCCCTTTCTTTATTAGAAACACGTTCTTTTGCAAAAACACAAATGAATAACTCATGCTTTTTTTTTGGTTAAATTTTTTTCTTGTCAGTTTCTCATTATAGGTGAGTGTGTAAGCAACTCAGTGCAGAAGTTGTTTGTCTCGCAGTGATGAGCTGAAATATCGGCTGATGCTGCGCTGCCAACAGTTCCCACAGTCTAAACAGGAGGTCCCAATTTCAGCGGCCACCAAATACTTTGGTGACATAAATGTGGAGAAGTCAGCAACAGTTCTCATGCCAGACCACTTTTCCTCTTATCCACAACTGTAAGTGATCTGAGTGATGAATGTTCTTGTGTGCGACAGACTGGGTGAGGAGGGGGCTGAGGGGGGGTGAAGGGTGAGGAGGGGGGGGGCTAATTTCCTCTTAAGGCTTCACACCAGTGACGAACTCAGAGCAGGTACGGAGCCAGGTGACCCGACTGTGGACGGCCAACGTCTGCCCTCGTGCACACGTGTTTTCAATATGTGGCAAATAAACGCGGGGACGTGTCTTTTGAAAACGAGTCTTTACAATTAAAGAAGCACCAAAAAAAAAAAA